ACACACACACACACACACACACACACACACACACACACACACACACACACACACACACACGCGCGCGCGCGCGACATTGGCAGGATGGCACTGTTGACAAAGGACCCGCGTCGAGCGGGCGTGAGCGTGGATATCAACACGAGCTATCTTCGCGCAGCGAAGGAGGGAGAGGAACTACTCATCACGGGACAGTGAGTTTTTGTTTCATCCATGCGATCCTTGATTCGTCCTTGATTCGTGTTCGGGCCTGACGCCTTTCTGTGACCCTTTCGTCACTGCTCGACCGCTGATTTCTATGTGATGCCGCCAGGGTTTTGAAGACTGGCAAGAAGCTTGGATTCACGCAAGTGGACATTGCACGCAAGAGCGACAGTGCGTTGTACCATGTGCATGTGTGTGAGTGTGCGTGCGCGCGCGCGCGCGCGCGTGTGTGTGTGTGTGTGAGTGCGTGAGTGTGTGAGTGTGTGAGTGTGTGAGTGAGTGTGAGTGAGTGTGAGTGTGTGAATGAGCACAAGTGTGAGTGAGCACAAGTGTGAGTGAGCACAAGTGTGAGTGAGTGTGAGTGAGTTCATCAACCTCTTTATGTCTGGTGCATGCGCACTTGACTTGTACCACTAACCCCTTTGCTCACTCTCACCACTCACACCCACCACAACATTGCCCCCCCCCACCCATCACACACACACGTCAGATGAAGTGTTGGTGACTGGGCGGCACACAAAGGCGTTGTGATGCGACGCAGCATGCAGTTTGCAGGTGCAATTTGGGGAATAACGGAGGGCAAGAGCGAGCCGGCGATTTGAGAGCAAATGAGGCACATATGCGTGTAGATGTGGGTGGCAAAAAAGAAACAAGCAGCAAGCGCGGCAACAAGAGCGGCTGCCAAAGGCACCAGGTCACATGTTCTAGCGGCAGGGAGCAGATACAACAAGACCAAAGCGGGATGCGGCAGCACAACAGGGATGTGATGAGATGATGAAGACGAACGAGAAGAAGAAAATGATGATGATGACGATGATGATGCGAAGAGCAATGGGAAGCAGGCCGTGTGTGTGTGCGCGCGCGTGTGTGTGTCGATCTAGGCAGCGTGGTGCTTGTATTCGTCGAGGAGATAGCTTGGAATGTGCGCCTGCAGCACCTTGCGCGGGATCTGGTGTGGGCAGTGGAGGTGGCGATGATGTGGTGGTGGTGGCTCGGTGTCAATAAAATCAGATTACACACATAACGTCGAGTTGTACACATATCGTCGGATTGCACACATACAAGCGCATATATGCTCGCACATCCAAATGCACAACAGAAAGCATGCACACAGCTCACAACACACAGCTGCACACATCGAAACGACAACATCACACCTTGCCAAACCGCGCCATTTCCTCGAGGAACGCGAGCATGTTGGTGACCTGCGGCGGAAGGTCCGTCGCCTGGTGCTGTGGAGGTTGGCGGAGGGCATGAATGGTTGGGGGGGGGGGTTCGAGTGGACAGAACCGTGAGGGAAGCGAGTCACAGAATCCGAGCACACACACACACACACACACACACACACACGCTTACACGAACCTTTGGGTTCTCTGTGACGGACTGCACGTGGGAGCGAATGTACTGTCCAGCCAGGTCGAGGAACATGTGCGTGTGTGTCGTGTGGAACTGCTTCAACAGCGTCAGCATCCCGCACACAAACGCCGGACCATCAACGGCATCACCCTGTCATGTGGAGCGGTGGTGGTGGTGGTGGTGGTGGTGGAGAGATGGTGATTGAGAGATGAGATAACGCTTGTGGAACACATTTGGGCTCGCAGGACGAAACACTGTCAGCATCATCATCGTCGTGCTCGCCTCTCACCGGTTTGCGTGCGACCATGGATCCAATCGGGCGGCTGTACACAATCCGCTGCAGCTGTTAGCCGTGGTGGTGGTGGTGGTCGCGGTCGCGGTGGTGAGGTGAGGCGTACAGGGTGCAGTAGTATGTCGCACGGGGACCGAAGCACAAGCACAGACACACAGACACGCACAACACAGACACGACACACATACAACACAGCACACAGACACAGACACACAGACAACACACAACACACACACGCACACACAGACACAGACACACAGCAGCAGCAACAGCAGCGGACCTGTGCGAGGGTGGTGAAGAACGCGTATGCGGCGAGGTGGTCGAGCTTCTTGGTGGTGACGTAGATCTTGGCCAGAGGATCGGCCTCACCCACAGCCTCCAGGTACTCGCTCAACTCCGCAAGCACAAGCGAGTCGCCGCCTGGCGCAGCAAATGGCCGCGAGGGGAGGGGAGGGGATGGGGTGTGGGGCGGAATGATGGAGTGAGTGCGTGTGGCGGTGGATGGGGCGTGAAGAGCACGTGCGGTGATGATTACTTGTGGACACGAAATTGCGAAACACTCACCACGAATCTCCAATTACCAGCAGCAATCACCACCAACCACCGCTCACTACCAGTCGCCACCAATCACCATCCCTCAATCAACGCCAC